ATTGATTCATGTCAGACCAAAGGCAGCTTGGACAATGATCCTAACGTCCGCATGATGCTACTATTTGACCACGAAGAGGTGAGTCCTTTGTGTACAGAGGAGAGAGAGATGGGATTGGAGGATTTTGGCATATGCTCTACTTACATTGTGAGCAAGCTTGTGAATTTTTTTTTCAGCTCTCAGACCACGATGAGAGTACATTGTGAATATAAAATGTTGATGTAAGCGTAAAACCTAATGTTTGTATAAATACTTGATAAGAGCGACAAGTTTTCTTTCCCCAAACTAGTCCCTCGGAGTCTGATTAGGAGTGGAGTCATTCTTAGATAGATTTCCCACAATGGGCGCATTGACAAAACTCCTCTGAGCTTGTAACGTTCTTCATAACACCTGAATAATATGGTAAACGGGCTAGCTCAGTAAAGAAATGCTGTACATCTCACCCAGTTAAGCTGAAAAATCCACATTGGTCCGTAGCTAGATGACAGGTTTGTTTGAAGACTTTGAAGTAGCCATTGGAGTAGGCTTTGTTTTGGTAGTGTGGCAGTGGTTAAAATACAAACAGTAACAGTCAGCATAGACAATCAGTAGACCGATCCATTAAGCCCCAACCAATCACAGCCGGGATTTATGTCTGACATGCGTGCTCAAAAGTCTGACGTTTTCTCTCGCATATGATGCACGCAGCTGGAAAATGTATTGTTACATTGGGAGAAGAGCATGCGTTAAGTACCCACTTGCACAATAGGTGGGGCTTACTGGATCGGTTCTGTTGGTTTCCACTTCCTGGTTAAGAATCAGGGCTTAAAATTCCTCTAAACAGCTGGATTCTTCACAGAGATCACATCAAATACTATCTTGGACCAAAATGTACTGATGATCTTAGATTTTTTTTTAAAATGCACATCAAACTTTCTAAAAGTTCAAAACCCTCATCAAAAAACACATTCTTTCATCTGTATGAAGCATTATGTTCATTTTATTGCATTACTTTTGTTTCCTTTTTATGAGTGAATGATATTTATTCATTGTTTAGTGATTATTTGTCGTATATGTAATTTCAAACAAAACTATTTTTAATCCAAAGTACAAATACTTGGTTTTGTTATTTTTGCAATGTTCTCATGAACATTCTTTTGCTTCACTACAATTTATAAGCTTAGAATGTTGACTTACTGGTACTTTTGTACTCAAAATCTATCAAAATGTAGTTTGTTCATCTAATGTGAAAATGTTGGTAGACAGGCGTAGGCCACATTAAAAATAAAAGTTAAATACCAGTTAATTTTTTCTCTCTTTTTATTCATCAAATTAATATGCCATTCATGCTAGTTGTACTTCATGTCTTATTCTATAATCATAACTTATCCTCATGAGTGCATTGATTGGCGAGTGTGTCTTCACCATCTGGACAAAGATATTTAAAATTCCAAGAATATGCTGAATGCATGCAAAGCTTTGACATTTGTGGCCATAGGTTGGTTCCTCAAGTGCACATGGAGCCAACTCCTCTTTGACTGAGTGGATTATGAGACGTCTAGCAGCTGGGGGGAGCCCCACTGCTTTTGAGGAAGCTGTCCCCAAGTCCTTCATGCTCAGCGCTGACCAGGCCCACGCAGTCCACCCTAACTATTCGTAAGTACTCATTTCATCAATTATTCCAAACCATTTAGTTTCATTATTTCAGTGATCAATCAACAAATTCAATACTCAATTTTGTGCTTTTGCACATCAGCATGAAATGATATTCACTTCGAAATAAAACGCTGCAGGAAACCCATCTCTAAAGAGCAATGGTCAACCCGTCTGGAATCTGCACTTCTGTATGGAATCAACAAAGATATGTTTGTACAGTCTGCGCAGCGTTCAGAGTCCAAGCAGCACTGTAAAACATGATGCAGTCCAGATTGTTTGGAACTTGTTGAAACTTTACACCCAGGCTTTTTTTCTCCATAATTTCTTTGGTCGACCCTCTAAGTTTGTATGTATTTTTATAGAGTGGATTGTTTACCCAGGAATGGAACATCATGCAATTTTGAACTGGCAATTTTTTTCCATTCCACATTGTTTTACAGGGAGAAGCATGAGGACAACCATAAGGTGGCCTTGCACAAGGTACGGACTCGTTTTCATCTCAGCAAGTGATATCATCAAGTGCTAAAACATTGACCGTGGTCTTGAAACAACTGGTTCTCAAAATCACACAACTCCACAAAGAATTAGCCTCCAAAGTGTTATCAAAAACATTCCATGCTTTGTTTTTGTCCACCATGCAAACCTACAAGTCTCATTAATCTCAAGATATATTAGAAAAGTTGTTCATGAAAATGTGTACTTGTATGTTTCTTGACCACAGTTTGAAATAATGAATCAGTTGTTGAAACAGTCAGGAAACAGCCACAGAAAGTGTGCATGAAGCTTTCATTATGGTTTTCAAAGTACACTCGGCCTAGCATAATACTCTGCCTGACCCCTATGATACGTCAGAAGTTGTTTCCAATTTGTAAAATGGTCAGCACATATAATGTAGAAGTTATTTCTTAAATTGGTAGCAACACCAGTGAGATGCTGAGACAAGTGCATTGACCCTGACAGCCCTGAACACCTATGACCCCTGAATTGACCTCTGTACTGATGATGCCACTCTTTGTTTATGTGTGTACTTTCCTGTGGGACTCAATGAACTGAGGGCCCCGCTGGCTCCTTAACCCCTTGACGATGGGAATTTTTTTCCAAAAGCCGATTCCAAGAATTCCAGCCTCGCTTGGCCATGAAGGCTACCTGCCAAATCATTGTTCAGTGGCATGCGGCTCTACTCACGCTTCCACATTCCCGTTGCCTCTTTTCAAAGTGGGGACTAATGTGAAGCTGGTGATTATGATGCAAATTTGGTCTTTTCATTTCTGGGCTACACACAAAGGCCACTCACCATTATATACAAGAGCCAGGGTCTGCCTTCTTTCACCATGTTCGCTCGAGCGTGGGCCGAGAATAATAGCTGATTAGCGTTCTGAGGATCTCAATTTTTACGATGGCTCTTACCGTCTCTTGGCGCGAAGGAGTTAAATTTCAGCTGTTACTTTTTAACTGAACAATCTACACATTAATGAAATACCTGTACCACTGACTGACATATAGATGTTGAGGTATTTTAGGGACTCTGGTGTAGCGAAGCAAGGGTCAAGCCCTCTCTTCCGTTTGATCGATGTCTAAGTAGGGCTGGGTCATTTCAAATAATTCACTATTTGAATATTCGACCTTCAATTCGACCAAAAATTCAGTACCGACAGGCAGATTGTTGATGAACAAACTATATACAAAATCAGTTGCAATAATACACACAATTGTAGATTATAATCAATATAATAGCTTCTCACATCTAGGAGTATCTCCAGCCATGATTTAGCAAGATTTAAGAGATGAACAATACTGCTTGCCCAGTTGAAAATTTCTGCTCCTTTTAACATTTCTATTGCTTTTCGTTTAAATCTGCTTGAAACAAGTCTCCAAAGTGCATTTTTTTTTTCGCATTTAAAACAAAAGAAAATGTTCCTTTCCTTGTCACGAATTTTCTATTCGAATATTCAATTTCGAAAAATAATATTCAAATAATCGATAATCGATCGAATATTCAGTTATTTGGATATTCGGCGCAGTCCTGTGTCTAAAATCAAAACTAAACTTTGGCATTTTCGAAGTGAATTCATGCATTGATCATCTTGTAATAGTAACCGTTAAATGTGTGATTTTATTACCAGGGTCCTGTGATCAAATACAATAGTAATCAGCGCTACGCCACTAATGCTGTCACAGCGTCCATTGTCAAACTGGTTGCAAAGAAAGTCAATGTTGAACTACAGGTAAAAAGACAAAGTTGTTGTGTGCCGAGAAGGGTGTAACCGCTTACGCCCTTCTGCCGGAAAGCATGATCGCTGCAAAAAAATTTTCCCGGCAAAAGGACGAAAGTATGCAACTATTGTATTTTAATGAAATATGAAGATTTCTTGGCAAAAAGTGCCCAAGTCCTCTAATAAGTTGTTCAAAGGTTACTTTTTGTACAGCTCAGGTTGATTTTGTAGTGAATTATATCCGTTTTTACTACATAAAGAGAGTATATTTCTTACGCCCGTTTGCCAGGAACATCTTTTTTCTGCTGTGATCATGCTTCCTGGTGAAAGGGCCTAAGTGCGCTTATGCCTTTCTGCCAGGCACCCGACGAAGTCAACTGAGGATTTTTGCCCAACTGGCTTATCTTGGAAGATTACCCATAATTATGAAATTTGTGCTTTAAAGTGTAAATTTTCTGATTTCCCCTGCATCTGAAGGCTCTGATGATACAAATAAAGCTACATGTAGTTCTTAACCTTACAGTCAAGCCTGCTGACTTTGCAGCTTTTTCCCAGATGTTCATTAGTTGTTCTGCATTGTTTGCAATTTATAATTCCAACATACTTGTTTGCCTTAAAAATAAGTTGACTTTCCAACATGTAACTGTTCCAGTGAACAGAATTGTACACTTGTTTTTTGCTCCATTCTCTCGTCAGGATGTGGTCGTGAGAAACGACAGTCCCTGCGGCTCCACCATCGGCCCCATCCTGTCCTCCAAGCTAGGGCTGAGGACGTTAGACATTGGGTCGCCGCAGCTTAGCATGCATTCCATCAGAGAGATGTCCTGTACGTCAGGCGTCAAACAGTGTTGTACGCTCTACCAGGTAAGTTTGGAAAAAAAACTCTGTATTCCTGCTGAAACCTGTGTGCAAGTCGGCATCGTGGTGGAGTCCACCACTTCAAGGTCGTGAGTCCTACTGGTTCGAGTCAAAGTCCAGATTTAAAAATCCGTGTTCAGTCTGAGTCTTGCTGGGTAGAGTCCAAGTCCAAGTTCGAAAAATCAAAGTCCAAGTCCTTCATTAAACCAAATATTAGCATATAATTCTTAAAAATGGCATAGATAATAAATGGACATACATTGAATGCACAGTGCAAAATTACATCCAATTTATTACCAGTAATTGGCAACATGAACAAAAGACGTGATTATAGTGACACAATGTTATCCATTATTTTTAACCTAGAGTTTTAGCTTGCCAGAAATCTTTTAATGCTTTACAAGAAATCAGACCTACATGAAAGCTACTAACAATAAAGCATGTTACCAAACAATAAGTACATTAATAGAGCTGAAGTGACATTTCTTGGTTGAGAATGTTTTTGAAAAGGATTTCCTGAAGTTGGCAGTGATTGAGTCCTCAAGTCTTTTGGCTTTAGACCTAAAACATTGGGTCCAAGTGTGTCAAAGAGCAGCACTGGGGCTAATCAAGAGTGTCTATAACCACTCCCTGCCGGGGAAGTTATCAATGTTGATGATGCTGGGCCGGGATGTTTATCATTTTTTTCTGTTTTCAAAATTCCTTAAAAATTCCTATCTTCATTTACTGGACACTTACAAACAAGTAAATGACTGTCTGGTCCACTCTAGCCTGACAGACAAAATTTATTGACACCTGAGTATTTCAGCCAGGC